CTGCCGCAGAAGGCTGGGGCGCAGTGGTTGTTGTGGGAAGCCTCGGTGGGCGTTGAAGCGGGCTTTTGGGCCGGTATCGGTGCCGGCGCTGGTGCTGGCTCGTCATCCTCGCTCTCCTCAGCTGACGAAGAGTCCTGCTGCCGCGGCCTCTCGAACAGAATCTCGTCGCCGTCCTCGTCCACTTCGACACCGGCCTTTCTCTCCCTCATGACACGGCTGATGGCCTGCCTCTTCGTCTCCTTGCCCTGGCCGATGGTCTTGGAGCTGGTAAACAGGTTCGTGTCAATCTTGCTCTGCGACAGCTTGGCGAGGATCTCGCGGTTCTCGTCCTTGCGCAGCTTGTTCTCGATGTACTTGTCGAGACGCTTGGCCTTTTTGCCGCTGACCTTGACATCGCCCTGCAGCTCCTTCTTCATGCGCTCCTTCTTCTCGCGCATGAGCCGCCTCTCCTCGGGGTCGATCTGCTCGGCGTTGGTGTCGGCGTCGAGCGGGGTGACGGCATTCTCCTTGGCCTTTTCGCGGGCCAGCACCTTGTGCTTGCGCTGCCGCGGGACAAACTTGGCCATGTTGGCTTTGGTGGGTGATAAGTGGTGGTGGATGGGGGTGTGAGATGAGCTGGCTCGGTTCGAGGTGAGAGCCAGTCTAGGCGGGATTGAGAGGAGGTGAGGATGCTCAGTGGTGAAGACCCTGCTGCTTCTTCGTTCTAATCTGATGCCGCTTCAATCAATGGTCCAGGGAGAAAGGCAGCGCCGCGCATGCCGTTTGGTATCTTTTTGAGCTGCTTGGTCGTTATTAAACACCATCCATCAGCAAGCAGCCCAGTGAAGCAGCAGCGACTGGAAATTTTTGGGCGAGAAACGTTCTGCCAGACATGACCGCCCTCTTATCCGTCGGAACAAGACTAGCGCGGTCTAATCAAGATGGCGGGGCCACAGTCACTACGAAGCCCCCACCGACAGCTCCAGTACAGGCAACAGCTCTCACTGAATAGTGCCGTCTGCTGCCATACACCCAAATCCAACAAGCTCACCGTCCCTTGAACGCCGCCATGGATACCAACGAAGAGGCTAGGGAACAGAGCTTCCCTGCGAAGACGAGAAAGGCTCTAGGCACCATCAATGGCGTCGCAACAGAGGCCAACTCGGTCTGGTTCTCCGACCGCATCATGATCACCATGTCTCAAGAGGGAAGGCTGTCCCAGTGGGTGCGTCTTCCTGCCAGCCGCCCTTTTACGTATGTGAAGAGAAAGTCAAGAACTCACAAATTCTAGGTCCACGTCCCCATCCTGCCCTCGCCAGCAGACATGGTCGACATGAACCTGTCATCGAGCAGCAGGGGGATGCTGCCCTCCACACACCTCACGGCCACGACGCTCCTCGGCGGCGGCGGCGACGAGAGGGAGACGCTGGGCCAGTTCTACGCCGCCCAGATTGCGCGACTCATCAGTCTGCGCGACCCCGAGGACCGTCGCACCTTGGTGCTGGGCCTCGGCCTGTTGAAGGTCGACACGGCGCAGGAGGCCTTCTTCGACACGATGGACCTCATCAAGGAGGTGCTGTGAGCTGTCGCCAGACTTGCTGTCGAAAAAATGCTGCATTGTTCTTCGTATACAGTGGGGGCCTCTGTTGCACGCCACGATGGAGAGCCTGCAGCATATTTTCGAGCAGCTTGTAACTCGTCCTTCATACAATTCGACCATAATTATACCGAAGGTCTGGATGCACCGGCAACGAGAGCACGGGGCAGCCGACTGGTAGCGACTTGCAAGGCTGCATTCGGTGTCGCCTATCCATTGAGTTCAGCGCAGCGAATCGCCAGTCACTCGCAAATCCGGTCGGGTCGAGGGGGCTCCGTCGGATAAAGCGTACAAAGGAGCTGCGCGTCGCGAAACCTCCTCTGCACTTATCCGTCGGGTCTCCCCCCAACGTGCTGCGATCCACACGCCAGAGCTTCATCCCAACACTACATCAATACCCCGAATTGCCGACGTCGCGTGGCCGATTGTGGGGATTGAGACAGGAGGAGCAGAAGGGAGGGGGTGGGAAACAGCTAGTTCCACGAGCGCCTTGTAGAACACCGCAGGCGAGGCAAAACGTCATGCGGAGAAGGCCATGAACGGCAACTCGGCAGCTGCTCTCTGCTGTTCGACATGCTGCTCAACCTTCAATAGACCTTGTTCGCCGGGCGCCCATTTTGTGTTTGCCACTTTCCATCCGTGCGATTGCCATTGCTCAATTGAACGAACAGAGAGGATTCCGCCCGACCATCCCAGCCACAGCAGACGCCGCCCAACATGGCCAACCTCAACGAGAACGGCATCCCGCCCTTCGAGAGCCTGCCCCTCGGCGCGAACGACCCGCCCTTCTCCGCCTGGGGCCTCTACGGCCAGAGCGACGAGCTCGGCACGCTCAACCGGCTGACAGACGAGCGCGTGGCGGCGGCGGCGCGGGACGAGATCAGGACGGGCTTCCGCGTGTCGCTCAACTGGCCGCTCGACGCGCAGTCGCAGGGGACCTTTTTCTCGCGCGCCGCCTTCCACCAGGAAATGTTCCAGAAGACGCCGCGCTTCATCAACGACGACGTGTGGACGTTCAACTCGCAGAGCTCGTCGCAGTGGGACGGCCTGCGGCACTACGGCTACCAGCAGGCGCGGCGGTTCTACAACGGCGTCACGATGGAGCAGGTGCACGGCGTCGACGAGCACGGCGCCCGCTCGACCGTCAACGGCATCCAGGCCTGGCAGGAGCGCGGCATCGTCGGCCGCGGCGTGCTCGTCGACTTCCACGCCTGGCGTCTCGCCCAGGGCTGCGACTACGACGCCTTTGGCCACGACGACGTGTCGGTCGACGACCTGCGCGCGTGCCTCGCCGCCCAGGGCACCGAGGTCCGCTTCGGCGACATTCTCCTGACGCGCACCGGCTTCATGGCGGCGCACGCCGCCAAGTCCAAGGACGAGCTGCAGGCCCTGCAGGCGACGCTGCCGCACACCTTTGGCGGCCTGCGCCAGGCGAGGACACGCTGCGCTGGGTGTGGGAAGAACTTCAGCGCCGTCAGCCGGCGACCAGCCCATCGGTACAGGAGCTGGCCCACCAAGCTCAACTA